TTAAATTGTTACTGTTCAAATATTTTATCATATTTTGTCATGATTAAAATAATATGCTATGTGTTCACCATTCTCTCGAAATCTAATGTTTTGCTTTTGCAATAGGACTCAATCAAAAAGATTTATGCCTCAAAGTTTTCGGAAAGTACTCTTTCATAAGAAGTTTTTAATATTAAACTACTACTAAAAATAAAATCAACATATCAAAATTACCTTAGTAACGTAGAAGTTGATTTATATTTATCTTTTAAACTGTTTCATATGATCTTTCATATTGTATCTAGATAAATACTATTTAGCAATAAAATATCTCTGTAACCAAAGTCAAAATTGATAATTCTTTTCGTCATATTATGGATCAAGCAATATTTGTTGGTACTCTTAATTCATATTTAATGAAAAAACATGCTATAAAGCGTAAAATTGTCAGGATTAATGCTGAATTACAACATGAACGAAGCAAGAGGCATCGTGCTTTGTTAATGAAAAACATACTCATCTTCAATCTACACATTCTTATCAATCAATCACTTATTATTCATCGTCGTGCAACTTGGTCTTATCCAAAAAGTGGTGAATGGTGAACTCAAATTGTGCCGAATATGACAGAAAAACAATTTAAAGATAATTTTAGGATTCAACGATCTACTTTTACTCAACTTATTAATCAAATAGGACCATATCTTAAAAAAGAAGACACCATATTACGTGCAGCAATTCCAGTTGATAAACGCATCGCATGCGCATTATATCTATTAGGTACAACTAGTGAATTACGAACGATTGGGCATTTATTTGGTATTGGTAAATCTTCTGCTGCTTATGTCTTACATGATTTTTGCTCTGTTATTGTCGAAATATATTTTTATCGATTAATTAAATTTCCAACAAGACATTATGAAATACGAGAGACAACTAGTGCATTTTTAACAAAATACAATTATCCTATGTGTTTAGGTGCAATTGATGGAACACATATTGCTGTTGAACCACCGATTGGTGAAGAGACAGACTATTATAATTACAAAAAGCATCATTCTATTATTTTATTAGCAGTCGTAGAATCTAATTTGAAGTTTACTTATGTTAATGTCGGAGCACCTGGTCGTTGTAACGACGCCTTTGTTTATGGACGGTCAACTTTATATGAAATTCTTCAAGGTCTTGATTATGCTCAATATCATTTAACAATTAATAATACACGTATTCAACCACATATTATTGCTGACTCAGCATTTCCGTTGAGCAGAAATTTAATGAAACCATTTATTGAACGTATTGGTATGCCACCTAATCAATCTTTATTTAATTTTCGGCTTAGTCATTGTAGAAGTACTGTAGAAAGAGCTTTTGGTCATTTGAAAAATCGTTTTAGATCCATCCATAAGAAAATGGAATATAATATTGAACATATAAAAATCATCATCAAAGCTACATGTGTATTACATAATATATGTATAAAATCTCAAGATACAATTGAGATAGATTGGAATATCCAAGAATCAATTTATAAAAAACCAGCATGTGGTATACAAACGACGGGTGCAGCAACAGTACGAGAAGCATTAACTCAATATCTTATCCAAAATCCTATCTAAATTTTTATATAGTATCTGTTTTTTTAATTCAGATTGTAAAATACATAAAATTTATTGTTTCGTATCATAATTCAACTTGTAGTTTAAATAAAATTTTAATGTTTTTCTTCGAATCATATTTTTAGCGATGGTCATGAATATACTATGAAAAAAAAGGAGCACCAACATAAACTCTTCAGTGTTTAACACCTGCTGATAGCCTCTTATTTTCAGAGTAACCGATAAACAGCTTTAATTAAAGCAAACTTTGCTCTTTCATTCGATATCTAATAGTCTAAACTCAGTCGAATCACTGCTTGCACAGTAA